TCGATTACTTCCTCAGAGTACGCGAGCATACACGGCGAGAGGAAAAAGGCCTTAAAAATTAATGCAACGATATTCATACAAAAGGCAATAAAAGCAATTATTATACCCCAAAGGGAAAAGTATATGTCAATAGATTCATCGGCAAAATTATATAATTAACTAAATGTCTTGGAATAAGGGTGTGCGGCAGTACGCCTGCTTCAGCAAATACTCATCAATTGGCTAAGGCTTCATGGATTCATATATCTAACCCTCAATGATCACGTTTGTTAATTGGGTAACAGAACAAACAATTACTTCGTCAGAGTAACACGAGCATATACGGCAAATAGGAATAAAAAGTCCTTAAAAAGTAATGCAACGACATTCATACGAAGGCAATAAAGAAACATGTTCCGAAGGCAAAACGTATACGGCAATGAATCCATGGGCAAGATTACGTAATTTTAAGGAAACGTTGAAACCATGGTGTGCAGCAGTATGCCTGCTTCAGCCAATACTCATTAATTGGCTGACGTTTCAATAAATTCACGGGGTGAAAGCAGGTTCCACCAGTGGGTATGCGCTGCTGTAGTAAAAGCAGGTTCCACCACAGTCGGTATACGCTGCTGTAGTGAAAGCAGGTACCACCACAGTCAGTATGCACTGCTGTAGTGAAAGCAGGCTCCACCACAGTATGCATTGCTGTAGTCATAGCAGGTACCAATGCAGTCGGTATGCGCTGCTGTAGTAACAGCAGGTACCACCACAATCAGTATGCACTGCTGTAGTCATAGCAGGATACCACCACATAGTAGATACTGATATCGAATTGGTAGATACTGCTATATAGAGTTAGTAGATACTAAAACAGTCAGTATATACCACTACAGTCAGTCAATACTGCTACAGTAAGTAGATACTATAAAGTCAGTAGATACTACTACGGTCAGTAGCTACTAGAGTCAGTAGATACTACTATACAGTCAGTAGATACTATTATAGAGTTAGTAGTTACTACTATAGTCAGTGGATACTACTATAGAGTCAGCAGATACTACTATACAGTTAGTCGTTGCTACTATAGTCATCTTCTTGGTTCTTTCGGTAAAGTCACGTAGAATGGAAATAAAATAATAAAAATAAAATAAAATAAAATTCTCATGACATTTCGGCCACAACACAAGTAGCCTTCTTCAGGTGAAGGAACAGAACTGTCGGGACGACAGCGCTTCAATGAACGCTGCTAAGCTTGGCAGCGTCTTTTAATCTGGGTTGGAGGAGCAGAGCGCCTTGACAAAGGAGTTTGCATATCAACAGAAGAATTTAGCATTGAAGTAGCTGTGTTAATGTGTTCGATTAGCAGAAATTAGCATGTAACTGGGAGATTAGCCTGATGTTAGTGTGAGGGATTAGCATGTAACTGGTCACGGAAGTGGCTATGTTAAAGTCAGAGTTTACATATCAACAGAGGCATTTAGTATATTGACGCTAAAGAACTGTAACTACCCAACTATCATACAATAAGCCGATGTGAAAGAATTAAGTATAAACTACATCAATATAATAAATGTACTCAATATATTATTCAATAAGTTGACCTATTAAAATAAAGTAACTGGGTATACACTACACTATATAATGAATACCATATAGTAAACTGATAAAAAAAACTAAAATATAAACTACATCAATGTTATCAATAAACTCAAGTCACTATGCATTACAAATCTATGTAAAAAAAGCGGCGGTTTCTTTTTTCTTTTCAACGTTAGCACCACGGAAAGCGACGAGCTTTGTTCAGACGGACGAGTCCATCTGTGCTTGGAACGGAGGGGGGAGAGAAACAGCCGCGATGCGCTGCTCTGTCCTGTGTTGCGTTACAACTATGCTATAAACTAGACTATTATACATGACAATGTTATACCTTCCAATCTAAACTACATTGTATAATATCGTATACACAGCCCAATGTAAGCTCTAACATGCATATTGATATGTCTCCAACTAAACTTTCTACATTACATGACTATACACCGTAATATACACTGCCATAGACAAACCCCACCCTTGAATTATAAAATGTGTTACTATACACTACCCTATACTTTAGACTATAAAATATTAGATTTGTAATATTACAATATGTATTATTCTACCAACCCTACTGTATACCACACTGCTGTATATTCACTATACAATTACGATACTATATATTGCCTTATGAATTATGTTAAACATTACACTGCTATACTATTTATTATTATACAACATGCTATAAACCATACCATTGACCGTCGTGTGAAAGGTATTAAGAGGCAGTGCCAGCGAATGGACTGCGGTCTCAAAGTCACCGTAAAATACAATCAATCAAGAACCGAAATGGTTTATCACGTCTTTCCAATGGCTGCTAAGCCAGAATCAATCTTCTCGGTTGAAATTGTCTGTGTTTGTATATGTGGATGGCCTCATGAACGAATATCTCATGGTAGCCGGATGGCTTGCAGAGAACCTCTGTCTTGGAGAAGTCAATGTCATGTGAGCCCACTGAATTATAACAGTGATCTGCCACGGCTGAGGTGTTGGTTCTACCGTGTTTCAAGTCTGCTTTATGTTCACGGATGCGGTCCGAGTCCGTAGATACTACTGTAGGGCCAGTAGATACTACTACGGTCAGTCGTTACTGCTACAATCAGTAAATACTACTAAACAGTAGCAACTACTGGCTCAGCAGATACTACTGTGCAGTCAGTAGATACTACACAGTCAATAGATACTTGTTTTGAGGGGGGGGGGGGTCAACAATTTTCGGAAACCTGTTAGAGCAACTATTTACCCCCCACTTGTGCCTCTTATTATTTTGTTGGTGGAGAAATGGACAAATGGCCCACCTGGCTTTCACAACAGCTTAGTATCTGTGTATGCATATGTAAGGTTTTTAAGAGACGATTTTGAATATTTCTTTCGCCCACGCAACGCCGGGTACTTCCTGCTAGTTCAATATAAACACTGTAATACAGCCCCAGTCTTACACAGGGCACTGGTCCTTCTAACTAACCACGGCCTAGGGAGGTACTGCCTCCGGGCTAGTGTGCCCTATCACGGGGCTACGGCTCTCTGGGTCCTCCGGCTACAAGTGCCCCAGGGGAGGCTGCACCGACCTGACCCAGCCAGGGTGCGGTTCCGACCACTGGCCCACTCGGACCCGGCACTCACAAGGACGTCGGGCCGGGGGTTCCCAGGGTCTCACCACTGAGCCACACTGAGTCCCGGCCCTGACAAGGGCAGCGGGGCTAGGGGTCCCAGGGTCCTAGCTAGCCAGTCTTCTTGCTTAGGTCGTGGACTGACCCCGGGCCCTTCCAGGGTTCCGGCTTTGATACCCAGCACCGGTGCGTCAGCCTCTGGCCCTGCCTACTTTCCAGAGAGTTCCAGAGGGGGCTCCGGGGGATCCCAGAACACCCCGTAGCCTCCTCCTATTGGGAGGGGTCCCGGGAGATACTAAAACACCCCGCAGCCCCCACCTGCTTTGGGGCTAGGGATATAGCAACTTCCCCTGCTGGACCGTGTCTGCCCCTGCAGGTAAGTGTACACAGCCCATTTACATCGCTACACGTGTAACTTTTGAGTGGTATGCCTTGTAACTGATGAATGATCCGAGTGTGCTCCCTATTGCAAAGACAATGAGTTGCTCCAGAGGCTTACACATCTACCGGGTCTCCATTTGACTTTGTATTGTCTCGGAAGTCCACCCACACCTCCACTTCCACAAATTGCCTCGCTCTGCCTCAGTCAGAATTCTCCTCCTGCTTCACGTTGCCTCCATCGATGTGAAGGTCCGATTTTGGAGTTGAATCTTCATCTTCACATTTTACCCTCACTTCTTCGCTCTTCACCATCACTTCATCACATTTCACCATCACCTCTTCATAATTCACCTCGATACCTTCAAAAGTGTCCAAGCTGGGATTTTCTTCCGGTTCTTGTTTCATGAGGGATGGGCTCATTGCGGCACTTCGACTTTCACAAGCTGATACCAGACTCCACTCCTTGTGGATCTTCTGATGCTTGTGTGTTCTCTGGTGTTTTTGAAGATTTGGTAACTGTGCAAACGCCTTCCCGCACGGAGTGCACCTGAAGGGGTTCTCTATCGTGTGTGTTCTCTGGTGTGCTACAAGAGTAGATAACTGAGCAAACGCCTTCCCACACACACTGCACTTGAAGGGGTTCTCTCCTGTGTGTGTTCTCTGGTGTTTTTTAAAAGCAGATGAATGTGAAAACGCCGTCCCACACACACTGCACCTGAAGGGTTTCTCTCCCGAGTGAGTTATCTGGTGTGTTACAAGAGTAGATGACTGTGCAAACGCCTTCCCACACAAACTGCACTTGAAGGGTTTCTCTCCCGTGTGCGTTCTCTGGTGTACATGAAGATTTGATGAACGTGCAAACGCCTTCCCACACACACTGCACCTGAAGGGTTTCTCTCCCGTGTGTGATCTCTGGTGTATTACAAGAGTAGATGACTGTGCAAACGCCATCTCACACACACTGCACCTGAAGGGTTTCTCTCCCGTGTGTGATATCTGGTGTGCTACAAGAGCAGATGACTGTGCAAACGCCTTCTCACACACACTGCACTTGAAAGGTTTCTCTACGGTGTGTGTTTTCTGATGTGTTACAAGATTATATGAATCTGAAAACGCCTTCCTGCACAAAATGCACTTGAAGGGTTTCTCTCCTGTGTGTGTTCTCTGGTGTTTTTTAAGAGCAGATGGATGTGAAAATGCCTTCCCACACACACTGCACCTGAAGGGTTTCTCTCCTGAGTGAGTTCTCTGGTGTGTTACAAGAGCAGATGATTGTGCAAACGCCCTCCCACACACACTGCACTTAAAGGGTTTCTCTCCTGTGTGTGTTCTCTGGTGTGTTACAAGAGTAGATGACTGTGCAAACGCCTTCCCACACACACTGCACTTGAAGGGTTTTTCTCCCGTGTGTGTTCTCTGGTGGGCTACAAGAGCAGATGATTGTGCAAACGCCCTCCCACACACACTGCACTTGAAGGGTTTCTCTCCTGAGTGAGTTCTCTGGTGCTGTGTCAAATGTTCAGGACGATCCGTGCTGTATGCACACCGGTCGCATTGTTGCCTTGTGATACCAAGCTGCACCAAGTGCCTTTGCTCCATCAGACAAATTCTGCAGAGGAAGTGACAGAGGAAGCGACAGCTGCAGACAGAAAAAAGAAAATCCACACCATCTACATGTCAGTATCGATGCACAGAGGAATGCATAAATACACAGTAACATGTGACTTACTTGTCTATACGTATTCATAAATTCATGATACAGTGAAAAAGTGTCCCAAATTCATCACACGGGCTGTTATGGCACACAATGAGAGGGCAAATGTTATAAACATGCCTGGAAGCCCTAGTGTCTTCAAAATAAATGTTAACCCAAAACTCCTAGCACACAATTACAGCTGTCTGGCTTCAAAAGGAATATTTATGAAAGCTAAATTCAGCTGACATAGCAAACGGTGTTGAAAATAGTACTATTTGTATTATGCAGAAATGCATGAATTAATGTTCACTCGTAACTTAGAGGTGTAAAGCCAGGCACAGATGTCCTAGAATGCTGGGATGAACAGTTCTGCCTTCAGCTGCACGTGTGCTGTGATAACTTCCTGACTCCATTCTTACAAAGAGTTCCAGAGGAAAACAAAAATAAACTACTGTTTTGAGCTCACTTCCATGCTCAATAGAGTTCAATGACTTTACTGCAAATACAAACTTGACACTGTCACACACTCAGAGGTGGAGCCAGGATTTTCAGGTAGAGGGGGGCAACCCCTCCAGCAATGAAAAATGATAGGAGTTGTTAGTAAGTAAGGAGTTGTTAGTAAGTAAGGACTTGTCCCTTGCTTTTTATTCGACGTGTGTAATCGGCATCACGGTCGCTGAAGGTGTTTGCCTTCAGGGAAGTCGTGTGCTGTATATGCAACTGCGCACAGTTCTGTGAGTCGCTTGTAACTGCTTTGCCGTTACTTATTGCCAATTATGGACTCGGACTGTTGTCCTCTCATAGAGTCCCTGGTACGTAATAATATGCCACACGGTGGCAGTTCGAAATGTTTAGCATGCTTCCCGACATGCAACAAACTTGAAATTTGGCATGTGGATAGTTTCCAGACTACACAATGCAAAATGTATAAAAATAGACTTTTGTATATGGGGGGGGGGGGGCGCAATAATGCATATATTTTGCACGCAAGTGAGCGGTGACATCATGTCACCGCTCACTGTGATGTTACCCGCATGCGGCAGCATTACGCAGTGTGCCTGCTGACGTCACGCATCCCCACCCAAACACTCCGCGTAGGCCGTGTTTTAATCCAAGACAAAAATCCAAGTCCCGGGCAAAGCCGGGTAGTAAAGCTAGTCAGGTAAAAGTGAAAGAGGGAACAAACCTAGTAAACTTAGAAATACAATGCAATACAACACAGAGAGTCGGCTAACATAACAGTCCGGGCGTGGTGAATCCAAGTCCCGGGCAAAGCCGGGTAGTAAAGCTAGTCTATATATAAAAGGGAAATTTGTGGATGTATGTGTGTCTGTTCGAAATGTTTAGCATACCTCCCAACATGCAACACACTTGAAATTTGGCACGTGGGTAGGTTCCATACTGTACACAATGTAATAAGTATAAAATAAGACTTTTGCATTTTTGGGGGGGGGGGGGAGAAATCACCATGACGTGTGTGGCGTCAACCCGCAACACACCTGAGTTAAGCGCTCTGCAATGCTTACCCCTACCATATGGCTCTTCGCGTGCCGTACTTCTAGAGCTGTTAACAGCGTGCCGGGCTTCTCGGAGTTTCAATACATATCCGTGCGAACAACAAAAATTACATCTGTTTTTTGTGTGAAGCAGCAAAAACTCTCCAACGCCGAGCTCTGGTGTGATGACATTTTCACAGCTTATGCTGTCTGGAATTTCGAAGTGAATGCGCTATGTTCAGCTCGCCACGTCATTCCCTTCCCGAGTGGCCAAAATGGACCTTACGTAGAAGTGGGTTAAGGTTGAATTTCCTTCAGTGAAAACATCCGATTTAGTCAAATTGATTTGTTTCGGCTTTTTTCTATCTTGCAAGCATACATTTTGTCAGGGTTTTTCAGTGAAATATAAAGGAATATGAAATTAATCCAAGACAATAATCCAAGTCCCGGGCGAAGGCGGGTAGTGAAGCTAGTTACTAATAAACCCCAATGATCTGATCGAAATTATGGATTTCGATCGGATCGTTGGGGGGGCACGTGCCACCCCACCCCCACTGGCTCCGCCACTGTCACACTGCATGGTTCACAGGTGGTGGTGTGTCCAGACCAACGCCTGGCCACCTTCACCTGCTCAGTATTAATGCTTCCTCTCTCCACCAAGTAATTCATTGAGGATCAATCAACACAGCCGAGGCTGCCTGTCTCTCTCTCTCTCTCCACCGGTGGTCGAGTGGATTTCTTTCCCGATCCCCTGGTTTCCGCTCCATATGTAAAGAATGAACACCGCCACGCGTCTAGAGTGAAAACCACCACGTGTCTAGAGTGAACACCACCACGCGTCTAGAGTGAACACCGCCACGCGTCGAGAGTGAACACCGCCACGCGTCTAGAGTGAACACCGCCACGCGTCTAGAGTGAACACCGCCACGCGTCTAGACTGAACACCGCCACGCGTCTAGAGTGAACACTGCCACGCGTCTAGAGTGAACACCGCCACGCGTCTAGAGTTAACACCACCACGCTGTTGACAAGCCCCACCTTGTTGTTGTTGTGGGCAGGTCGCTTCGGCAGCTCAACGCGGGCGTGGCCTGGTAAAAAATGAAAAAAAAATATGAATATTTAAAATAAAACAAGGTTACAAAGTAGCGAGCCAGGTGAAGAGAAATTACAACTTAAGCAAGATACTCTTTGGTTATTTCGGTATCGTCATGTAGAAATAAAATAATAATTAAATAATTGCTTACGACATTTAGATTGCAACACAAGTGTAGTGGGTTCACGGGACACGGAGACGGTGGAGTAGAGGCAGCACTATTTATTCAAGCTTGGCAAGTTACACTGAGAAGGGGTAACGGCCCCTTCACCCGTATACACACTGGGACACCCTCTAGGCTAACAGCCTAACCACTATGTTCCCAGTTCCTCCACTACAGGCGCTAGAGGAGGCTGTCTGACCTGGCCCTGGTCATGGCACAGGTCACGGCACCCCACCAGACAGACCGACCCTCAAAAGGGCTCCGCCTCTGAGGCTCTGGGGCCGCACCACTGGCTTGCCTTGCCGGCCCTGAAAAGGACAGTGGTCAGGGGAGTCCCAGGGTCTATCCTAGGTCTCCCTTCTTCACTGGTTCTTCACCCTTGGCTTACCCCAACACTCTGCCCCGAGCTCTCTGGCTCCCCGCCCTTAATACCAATACACCACTCAGAGGCGGGGCTATAGCGGACGTGGTTGTAGCCACCACGATGTGACTGTGTGTTCCCTTCCCGCAACACCCCTACACAAGCAAGCAATCATCTCCATATATAAAAGGGAAATTTGTGAATGTCTGTTTAAAATGTTTAGCGTACTTCCCGATATGCAACAAACTTGAAATTTGCCATGTGGGCACTTTCCAGACTGTGCCCCATGCAAAAATTATAAAAATACCTTTTTTTTGGGGGGGGGGGGGGGGGAGAGCTCAATAATGCAAGTGAGCTGTGATAGAAAATCTGTCATGTGACCCGCGCATGTGGAAGCGTAACGCGTGGTTAGCGCGCTGCGCTACGAACCCAGCGACCCGAGTTCGATTCCCGCTCACCACCGGTGACGATCATTTGAACCGGTCCTGGGCCTCCCCTAGGTCGACTCAGCCTCAAACGAGTAACTGGTGTATTGTGTGAACATCGCCACTGGGGAGACAAAGGCGGCCGGGCGTGGTGAATCCAAGTCCCAGGCGAAGCCGGGTAGTAAAGCTAGTCTATAATATAAAAGGGAAATTTGTGAATGTGTCTGTTCGAAATGCAACAAACTTGAAATTTGGTATGTGGGTAGTTTCCAAACTGTACACAATGCAAAAATAATCAAAATAGACTTTTGTTATATTTTTGTGGGGGGGGGGGGGGGGGGGGGAGGGCGCAATAATGGATATATTTTGCACGGAAAGTGAGCGGTGACATCACATCTCTGTCATGTCACCCGCATCCGGAAACGTTACGCAGTGTCTATTGACGTCACGCATCCCCCCCCACCCTCTGCGCTGGCCGTGTATTAATCCAAGACAAAAATCCAAGGCCCGGGCAAAGCCGGGTAGTAAAGCTAGTCAGGTACAAGTGAAAGAGGGAACAAACCTAGTACACTTAGAAATACAATGCAATACAACACAGAGAGTCGGCTAACATAACAGTCAACACCACACCTGGTTGATTACGTTCTTCCACAGATTGCTAAATTTGAGACAGAACACAGACACGGAGATACACAGACAGACACATAAGCAGAGAGAGAGATGACACAGACACACAGAGACACACATAGACACACAGAGAGAGACAGACACAGAGAGAGACAAAGAGAGACACACACAGACACACAGAGAGACACACACAACAACAACCGCCATTCGCCACTAAGTGGCGGTGACATCACCACGACGCTTGTGCCAGGCTATGTGCACCCTGAGGCCACGTGAAGTGTCGAACGCCCGCTGGCAGGAGGTCACGGGGCAGACCCAGGTGCCACGGGTTGACTGACTGAGATTACTGGCTGATGCACCACCTGTGCCCCCTTCTGTGCCAACCTGCTGTGCTTTAGCCACCCGGCGCTCCGCTCGTTGTTCTGAGCGTCGCTCCTCTGCCCTCCGTTGTTGTTGGAGGGCGACTACCTCCAACTGCCCAGTAGCATCCTTCACGAGCCTCCTCCACAGAGGCCGATCTTGACACCGCTGGTACCAGTCATCGGCAAGTCCACTCAGCTCCACGTCCTCCTGTACCACATCACTCCATCTCTTCTCTAGCCCGTGCCGCGCCCGCTTAGCCCCCTCAATCCGGCCGAACAAAAGCTGTTTCGGCATGTGGTGGCTGGGCATGCGGGCTACATGACCCAGCCATCGCAGCCTTGCCCGCCGGAGGAGCTCACCGATGGGACCTTGCCCAGATCTTTCAAGGATTTGTGAGCTCACACAATCCAGTCTGGTTTAACCCAGGATGGATCGTAGGCAGGCCAGCCTAAATGTTTCTAACCGGCGAAGATGTTCCATTAGGGGGGTCCACGTTTCGCAAGCGTAGAGAAGGAAGGGAATGACCGTGGCCGAGAAGACCTGAAGCTTAGTGCGGAGCGACAGACCAGGTAGCTTCCACACAGCGTTACGCAACCGATGAAAAGATATTGCCGCTCGACTGTTTCGGAGTGAGACCTCTGCTGTTAAACTGGAGCCAGTCATAAGCACACTGCCCAGGTATGGGAAACTCTCCACTCTCTCCACAACTGCCCCATCACCGATTGGGAGTTGTGGGGGTGGAGTGTCCGATGGTACAAAATACCCAGGCAGGTGCTTAGTTTTGGTGGGGCTGATGGTAAGGCCCCACCTCTTAGTGGCATGCTCCAGTCTCAGCAGCAGCGTCTCCAACTCCTCCTCTGACTGAGCAGCTATTACCAAATCATCAGCATACATAACGTGGTTGAGCAATAGGGAGCCATCCCTTGACCGCACCCGGGCATCGATCAGCCTCCCATTATATCTGTACCATATGGAGATTCCCCCGGTACAGCTATTGAAGGCTTCACGAATTACGTGGTCAAAATAGATGTTAAATAATGTGGGAGCCAGAGGACATCCCTGTCGCACCCCAAGGTGTACAGGGAATGGCTCTGACTCCCGGCCACGTAGTTTTACCCGGGCCCGCTCACCATCATGAAGGTCCTTAATGATCATGAGCAGAGGGTCAGGTACTTCAAAAGCACGAAGAACGACCCAGAGCCCAGGCCTATTGATGGTATCATAGGCCTTGACCAGGTCAATAAAGCAGAGATGTAGGTCTTGTTGGAATTCCCTACACCTCTGCTGTAACAGACGGACAGAAAATATGGCATCTGTGCAGGACCGCCCTTTCCTGAAGACACACACAGACACACAGAGACACAAAACATAGACACACAGAGAGATGACACATAGACACACAGAGAGAGATGACACAGACTCACAGAGAGAGACACACACATAGACACACAGAGAGAGATGACACAGAGACACACAGAGAAACAACGCCGCTGTGTCGAGGCCTTAAATAGAGAAGGGGGCAGAGAGGGGGGGGGTAGAGAAATTAACAAGTCAATGCTAGGCCGTAGCCATGGAGTCAACATTGGGGAGGTGATGTCCCCCAATATATATTATAATTATTATCATATCTAATAATTATAATATATAATTATCATGATATATTATAATATATTATTACATATTATAATATACTATAATGATTATAATATATTATGATTGTATTATGAATATTATAATAATTATAATATAATAATTATTATAATTATTATAATATATTATGACTACGCCCTTGTGTCAATGAAAGATTTGGTGGTTTGGTGACTGCAGGAAATAAAAGCGCGACAACACGAGGACACACAGAGAGAGAGAGAAAGCACACTTAATCAAACAAACTGAGTAAAATTTAGAAATGTAATGCAATGCAACACAGAGAGTCGGTCAACACACAATTAACGCATAGCCTGGTTGATTACGTTCTTCCAAAGATTGCTAAATTTAGCAAGAGAATTGAAGCAAACGCGATCAGGCGAGGGCAGGAGGCAAGGCCCTGCGTTGTAAAATTCCAACCTGGACATCGCTTCCATGCTCGCTGCTACTCAGTTGACATCCCTACGAGAGAGACAGCGAGGCTCTACCTCGGTAAACAACAACAACCACAACCACCACCACCACAACAACCGCGATTTCAGTGCAGGCGCGGAGCGGAAACTTCCTGTTACCTCGCGACGTCACGAAGCAGCAGGTGACATGCCGTCATTTGCAGAGTACAAGACCCTCCCCTCCCACAACGAGCGGCTGTTAACGTATATAAATTATGCTAATGAGCCCGGCCCAGACGTGGAGGGGTGGGGCGTGGGTGCCGAACCCACCGTAATAAACTCGCGACGGCTTTCACGAATACATTATGTTAATGAGCCGCCAGTCACCGGGCGTGGCTTTGCCCAAATAAGGATTGGCACTGGAACAGTTATCGGCAGCGGCCGAGCGGCGGTGACGTCACGCTCAAGAGCGCGGCGGTCGGTTATGGGTGACATGACGTCACTAGCGAGGCACACCTCCCCCGAGACGTTCGACGCCGTTGAGGTTACGCTGAGCGGTGACGTCAGAGAGCGGGGTCACAGTTCAAGTTTGTTGACAGAAGGGGAGCGGCAGTGACGTGGTGAGCGCTGCGCTCCGCACCCGACCAGCCGAGTTCCATTCCCGCTCGTGGCCAACACCGCCAGTGACGATTTTCTGAACCGGTCCTGAGCCTCCCCTACGTCGACTCGGCCTCAAACGAGTACCCGGTGCGATGTGTAAACATCGCCACTAGGGAGACAAAGGCGGCCGGGCGTGGTGCTGGCCACCCACCCCCTCGTGTGCCGTCCCACCCTTAATAGGTGCTCGCTAACACCACTTGCCCCTACAGTCTGTTAAGGCTATACAGGGCATCTTTGTCTTTATGTTAGGTGCTCACTAACAGCACTTGCCATGACATTCTGTGCAGGCTATACGGGGGATCTTTGTCTTTGTGTTGGGAGCAAGTTTGAGTGGCGTGTAGCCGTGGGAGCTGAACG